TAAAATACATTTATTTTACTCATCTTTTTTTCTCCGTCACAGTCTTTTCTGCTTCTAGTTCATTTCATGCAGGATCAGAATCTGTATGATCCATCTGTGCCCAACACTGTGATGTTGACATGAAAGAAAAGAGGCGACAAATTGCACAGTGAGCATAAAAGAAAACAGAAACAAAAGTTTAAAAAGGATTGTATAATTAGGCAGTGCAACATTTGAGAGTTAGATCTGATGTGTACATGTTTTGTACTTAGGGCAGGTGTGAGTGTAGTTGTTGAGTATATCATGAAAATTAATATTTTATTTTAAACTTGTGTGCAACAGAATACTTTAATATATGTCAGTAAGATGTGATACAACACTATATGATCTGATACAAAACATACGATAATGTAAGATACAATACGATACAGTATTAAACATCATGTTAGAACACAGCATGATGCTGTATGATACTGTATGGCACAATCAATGTTATATGTTTTGATGCATTGCAATATAAAGTCCTACGATGTGATACAAAATGATACAATGTAAGATAATTTAGGATATAATGTAATGTGATACCAATATGATATTATTGTTGTATGATATGATTGAATCCTGTACGATACAATGTAATAAATACATGAGACACATTATGTTAGCCCTGTAGGGAAAATGACACATTAAGCTGTCTCTATACAGTAGTAATAAAAACACCTTTTTTCTTTAAAATCGACATGTTAGCCACCAGAGAAAAGGCTGCATTTTAGGATTTTTACATGGAGAGCTTTTTCCCGAGGTGTCAAAGCTCTCTTAGAGAATTTGCCTAGTCGGCCTGTTCGAGAAATGTGATCAGAAAAGGTGACATTTTTAAATGAGGTGCAAACGCACAATGAACAGTGCAAGTATAAAAAACGGAGTCATCCTCTAGGGAAATGACTGTTGTCAAGCTGAAAGTAGTCATATTGCATTTTTTATATCCTGTGTAAAGATGGAACTATACCACTGATGGTCAACAATGACATGTGCTCTAGTCTTTGAGGGAAATCCTCTGAGAGACTCACCCATGTGCCTTAAATTCAAATTCTGAATCCCAGGTACAGGATGTTATTCAGTCCCTGTTTTTATCACTTAAGAAATGTATCCAAAATTAAGTTATTTTCCTCTGCCCCTGACCTGACCTGCCTTTATTTCATCCCATCTCGACTAATATAATTTCCTTATTCGCTGCACTTAGTGGAGAAGCACCTTATCATCTGCAGTTGGTTCTAAAATGCAGTTGCCAGGCCTTTTACTGCAATTGAGAGAAGAACACATTAATCTAATACGACCTTCTCTCCTTTGGCTACTTATTGCCTTTGGAATGCATTTTGGGGGATTGTATTGATTGTTTTTAGTGAGGCGATGATGATGTGGTAGAGCTACACAAACTATTTGGGACATGAATGTTTTGTAAACGTGTTATTTCTGATAGAGAAAAAAAGGAATAGCTATTGGTTTCAGTGAACACTTAAGTCCACTTTCAAAGGAAACAGAGTGTAAGGGTATGGAAGGCGTCGTCTGAAGAGATTTAATAATTCAGAGGACCTAAATGGGTCACACAAGTATTAATTAAGCAGAGTGTAGGGTATAGGGGACAAGGAAGAGGGAAGATTGAGTGAGGACTAGATGAACACATAGTTGTAGTTACTGTATGTCAAAGAAATAACAGAATCGAGAAGGACAAGGGCGTATTCAATTGGAGAAAAAAAAGTGATGGGAGGAAAGGAGATAAAAACAGAACAAGTACAAGAAGAAGAGTGGAGACCAGAGAAGGAAGAGGAGCTGGGAGAAGTGTGGTATAATGGTCTTTATTGTGTGCAATAATCAATGAAAGAGCGTGGGAGTTCCATCTTACAATCCTCATTCAGCTTGGCCTTGTCATCCCACACACACACACACACACACACACACACACACACACACATGCACACACATTCACACGTTCACACACACACACACACACATACACACGCTCACACACACACACACAAACACGCTCACACACACATTTTGTCCAAACTCATGCAAACCAAACATGTTAATTCACTTTTTCTTCAAATTTTTTTTATATTCATTCGCGTGTGTGACCATTTCCCTGCCAAATGCTGATGAAGGGGAGATTTAGCAGCAGGGAGTCAACCTCCACGCATGCAATCAAATAATTCACTCAGGAAACTCAACGAAAACACACATGCAAATCCCCACTTCAGCGAACATGAACTTGTAGCAACTGCAGCGAGCAACACAAATGATTAATATGTTGCATGTTGAGTTATGGACAACATTCCCGATTGTTGTTTAATCCACCCCCTGCTGTTACAGACAAAAGCAGCACTACACGTGCATATTCAGTTTGACTGAACAGTTTTAGCAGTAATATGATGTAAGACTGCAATATCCATTTGTTTCTTTGGAGGCAGCAGAGTGCGTTTTGGTTTGCTACCCCTGAGTTGCGCGAGATCAAGCTCGGATGCAATCTTTGGGCCTCATTCGCCAACATTTTCACAAGATTTTATTACAATCCTTATTAAGAAAAGTCTAAGGCAGATTCATTCTTTTTTTTTTATGATTTATTTTTGGGTCTTTTTATGCCTAAGAGAGATAGGACAAATAGAGTCAGAAATCAGGCAAGAGAGAGAGTGAGCAATGACATGCAGCAAAGGAGCCAGAGGTCGGATTCAAACCTGGGCTACCCGCTTTAAAGACTGTAGCTTCTGTACATGGGGCACACAAACTAACCATTAGTCTGCCTGCACCCCGGTGATCCTGCTTTTAAACTGCAGAATCGTTTCTATATGTTTTCTTAGCTTGAAAAAGTTCTTCCTTATTAGCTTAGGTAAACGGGCATGAGACCGCAGGGCCATGAACACATGTACGAGTCAGTATGAGAAGGTGTGTCATTGTTTGGTCAATGAGGCCGACTGTGATGAGCTGTCAGAGCGACAGTATTATTACAATATTTATAAAAAAATATTCATAACTATTGATATATCTCTTGCCTACCAAATTACCTTCCGTAAAACAACACAGCAACATCAATAGATGTAATCAGTTTAATGATAGGTAATAAGTTAGGGAGGCAGAATCACATAAAAACTAACCAATAACAAATATATTGAAGAATGATTTAAAGGCCTGTCTTTAAAAGAATTGTTTTAAGAAGGGATTTAATAGATGAAACCGATTTCATCTGGCAGGCTGTTTCACTTTACAGGTGCCCTTACAGAGAAAGCGCCGTCACCTTTCAGATTGAGCTCGGACTGTCGGACAAATAAAAGGCCTTGCTTGAGGATCTTGAGATGTGGCTGGGCTAATAAATTGTTAACAGGTCAACATTATAGCTTGGGGCTTATATTTCCTGTGCCTTAAAATTGATCAGAAAGTGAGATTAACTAGTGTGAGATAATCCAGTGCTGCTAGCAGTGCATGTGTTTCATGCCTCTAAATCCTTTTTGCGGCCCTAAAGAATGGTGGTGAAGAAAAACCATGATGACCTCAATGTTTCAAACAAGGTTGTTTTCTGTCAATGTTGCTTTGTGAATTTTTTGGTTTTTTGTTTTTTTGTTTTTACAGCATTCTGCTTTGTTGTTGTGATTATCTCTGCAGTGGAACAGGAAGGCCTCAACATAGTTTACATATATTCAGTAGTTGTCGTTAAGTTTCACATTTCAGCTTGGCTCTACTTCTGAGCCACTCTTATATCTAAGTCACACTATGCCCAGCTGTCTCCTGTCCTTCCTCCTCTTCTCTCCTCTCTCCAAGACCAAAGCTCTTGTGCCCTAAAGTCAGCAGACATGACAAGAGCCCAGTTTCATGGTCTAATGAAAATGTTCCTCTCTTCTTCTTCTTGCAACAGCGCTTGTCTTCAGCTATAACTACAGCGCAACTCAATCATTTATCGCTCCTGCCCACTGGCCACTTTGCCATCCATGTCTCCACTGATTCGGCCAAAGTGAGAGCAAAAGAGCGAGTAGCTTTGCTTCAGATTAATATTAATGGACTCGGCTCTTGTTCCTTTGCACATTTTAATGGGTTTTAGTGATGGAAATGGATGCAAAGCCTGGTTATTTAATCATTCTTGGCCTTGTATTTAATAATTTAGTTTCTCATGACACAAAACGTAAAAAAACATAAAGTTGACTCATACAGTATATATTTAGTCCCATATACTGTATAAGGGGTTCCCTCAGCTACTATGTGGGATGTGTTATGTTCTGTTTTATTTCATAATTTATTGTTAGCAGGCCTTTTTTCATAATTCAGCCATTGTCAGAAATACAGCACCAAGACCTCAGCATGTGCCCTGTTCATGAAACAAGACATAGAACTGTTCAGATACTGCTCATACTACTTGCACTTACTTACTTATGAAAGAAGATTATTATTTTAAATATATACAGAAAAAGTGGTGTGTCTCTGTGGTTATGTAATGCTAAAACATTACAATGTATTGGTCACGATGAGTCAAAAGCTTTAATAACAGAAAATGATGACAACATTTATAACAGGGAACCTAACATATTGCCTCTCAGAGCACACATTGTTTTAGGGCCTACATCAATGAGTAGTTAAGACCAAGTTGACAGTGTCATGGCAATTAGATGATATATCCTACTGTATGTGTTGTATAAGGAAAAGGTTCCTGTAAGAAAACATAGCACTTTGTGAATATACAGTACATTGAGTTGGATATATGGGTCACCTAAGTCAGTGAGTGAAAAAGAAACAAGCAAAATGTATTAATACTTTAAATGCACAATGCGTATACACAACAAAAGCAATAACTCTGCTGTCAGCAGATGGTTAAATGGTAATGAACACAAACCTAGTCATGCTATGTGATTAACTAACTGGACTGTATGAGATCCAGATGGGACTTGATTATAACGCACACACATGCGCGCGTACGCACACACTGTATATATATGTATATATTAACGACCTTACAAATTCCTCATCTCTCTCCCCTTTCACAGATGGTTACACTACAGATGACATCGAGTTCTACTGGCGGGGAGGAGACAAGGCTGTGACGGGGGTGGACCGAATTGAGCTTCCCCAGTTCTCCATTGTGGACCACAAGCTCATCTCCAAGAATGTCGTCTTCTCCACAGGTGATGGAATAAATGAATGAATCACACCAATCACAAATGAGGCCTACCTTGACCTGGAATAGTTAAATGTACAGGGGAGAAACACATGCCAGTGCAACAAAATGCAATCCAATATAATTAGCATTGACTCATTTTCTGGAACATATGTTTGTATGTGCACACACTTCACTGTATTAACTTCTTTATTTCTTTTTTAAAAACCCTCTCTGTCTCTTCGGATTCTTTGACTTTGTTACCACTTTGCCCTGCAAACAGGGCAATAAGGAAATCCTTAAATATTGACTCATTTCATTGTTTGCACTTATTGATATAAAAACAGCATCAGCTAATTTCCATCATGGAAACTGTTATGTAAATGTGCTAACAAACCTCTAAATGAAGTGTCGTCCTGGAAAAGAGAAGACACAATGTTTTATTTAACAGCAATAAACAAAAGGGAACGCTGTCTGATACAATGAAATATTCATTCACACTCTTCTGCATCTTCATATTTATGAATTTGTCATGCAAGCAAGAAAGCAATTGTACGCAGGATAGCAGTTCTGCTGAATATAGTTTCCGGGAACTGTGTTGAATGAGAGCAGAACATTAATGTGGTAAGAATGTGAAGAGTTGGCCAATGAGAGGGCTCGTTTTGTCTTCAAGATTCCCACATTCCAAACAACCCTATTAATAACACAGTGCTTCCTGATGAATGCACAATCTTTGTATGCATCAGTGTATGTCCTGTCCATTAGCTTGCATGCAAAGAAGTCAACCCAAGTGTGTTCCTGCAGGGTGTCTGATTGGATTATCTTTATAAAGAGACCGGGGGATTCCCTTTTGAATGTGATGTTTATTGGGATATAGAGGGAGCCACCCCGGGGTCACTCAGAGATGCATGGCTCAGCACAAGTGCCATGGCGTTTATCCAAAACAAGTGTCATATTCCACTCCAAGGATAAGCAATGTCATTCTTGTCTTTATGAATAAGATATATTCACTGCTGCACCTCGGACCTGACATTTTATCCCCGAGTGGTTTCCTCACTGCATAAAGAAATAATTCAGTGATTGTCTCTGTGACTCATGCTGACATTAGTTAACTGTAGCCTACTCGCAGATCCAAGTGGCTGCTGGGTTGTTGGTGCTTTCGTTAAAAAAGGCTTAATCTTCTTCTCTGGCCCCTCATCTGTCTCTTCATGCCTTTCCAATAAGCTGTATATAGCAGGCCATTACAGCTCCTCTTCCTCCTTTCAGCTGCAAAGCAACTCAAGCCAAAATAGAGCCAATTTCCCTAGCAAGAGAAAAACATGTGCAGATAAAAAATCTTCCCGACCAAAACAAAAAGTAGACCCTTAACAGACAAGTATTGAATCTTTTGCACAGGCAGAAGATAGATGATAATTGTCTTGATGCTTTAATTCTGAAGAGACCACAAATATGGCTTTTGAGTGCTTCTGCAATGCACAACAACAGGTTGAAGAATGTATTCAGCAAGTGGGTAAAAAGAGCTAAAAGTAGAAGATCTGAAAGAGTAAATGGTCTTCTGACTACTCAAAGTGCTTTTACACACCGCATGTCTGACCAACTACCCATTCACACACTGAAGGCAGAGGCTGCTATGTAGTGAGACCATCAAAGTAACTAGTCCCATTCATACGATGCACACGCCACTGACGAAGCAGCGGGAGCAACACGGGGTTAAGTGTCTTGCCCAACGACACATCGGACATGTTGCTGCAGGAGCTGGGGATCAAATCATCGACCAACTGAGCCACAGCCTTAACTGTACAGTCTTAATTGTAGGGCTCCCTCACAGCTTCTTATTTAGTGTAAAAAGCTTCCTGATTAATCAATTAATTAATTAAAACCTAATCAGCAATAAAGTTGATAATCAATAAATAAGTTGGGTATTTGTGAAACCTTAACTATGCTGAGCATAAGGTTATCCAAAAATGAAAACCATGGGGCAGAGTTGTCTCCAGGAGAAAGTTATTATAGAGCAAAAAGTCCCGAGATCCGACAGCTGTGGCTAATGTTGTGGGAAGTATCCCCTAACTCTGCCTCTGCTTGCTATTTTGTGCCCCTGTTTCCTGTCTGCAGGTGCTTACCCTCGCCTGTCCCTGAGTTTCAAGCTGAAGAGAAATATCGGCTACTTCATCTTGCAGACATACATGCCTTCTATACTTATCACCATCCTCTCCTGGGTCTCCTTCTGGATCAACTATGACGCCTCTGCTGCCCGAGTGGCTCTAGGTGAGGCTTTCAATACAAATATAGACAGAGAGGCAGCACTCGTTTAAACAGTGGAGGACATGGAGAAGTAGACCAGATAGATAGTGGAGGTTAGCAATTTGTAATGTTTTTTTGTTTGATTCTGAGAGTCTCTATGCTTTCCTTGAAGTAACAGAGTCCTCTCTCGTTGTCATCCTCAATTACATAAACCTCTCATAGCCTGTGAGGTTTGTTTCCAGCTTCTAGATTACTCTTCGTTTATCTGAAGCTCCTCGCATTCTCTTCAGCCAACTCCATCCAACCGGCTTCATCCATCCTTTTACCCATCCCTCGCTTTAGTGGACAAGGCAATTTCACTGATTGACGACTGAGCTGCATTTAGTTATCGGGGGTTGGTGGGGGAGGGGGGGGGGCATGCATGGGATTTAATGAAAAAAAAAAAGGCAATGCTCCATAATGGAGGCAGGTCAGCATAGTTGGTAAAATGTTTGGTCACCCCCCCTCCGATCTACACTCGATCTAGGAGCCACTTCACTGACCTGGTTTGGGGCATTAAAATGGGCCTGTAATAGCTGAATCACATGGCCACTGTGCTGCAGAAATCCTTTGTTGTTGTTGTTAAGCTCTTGCAGCAACAGCTCAGGAAAATTGCCTGAATCCTATTTTGAGCAGTGGTCACCTGACAGCTTTGTGACAGCTGTATAATAATTTTATAATTGTTCACTGAGACTCTTAATAGAAATTGCCATAAATAATCACAATGGTTGTACGTTGAAAGTGGAAAATATATTTCTCTATAAGAGCTGGGAAGACGCGTTCGTTTTGGTTTATGTTCTATGGTGATGCTGTCCTTGTGTTTCTTGTCTTCTGTGTGCTCCTGTTGCAACGCAAATTTCCCCTTGTGGGACAATAAAGAATCTGAATCTGAATCTGATAACTTAAATCATGAATGGAGAAAAATATCAAAGCTTTTAAATTCAGACTCTTAAATGTTATTTTAACATTGCTTTGCTAAAATGCCACAAAATGTAAAATTAAATCACTGCAAGCTTCAGATACTGTAGCTTGTCACTCATTACAAGCATAGACTTCATATATTGATATGCAAAGTCAGTCTGACAGAAACTATTCCCCCTGCTCGCTTGGTTAGATTTTTCCCAAAGTGTCTACAACTTTTCTCAGAAGGTGTTCTCCGCTAATGAACAAGACCAAGGTTGACATTTGAAATTCAAATCGTTGTAAAGCCCCAGGTGCCCGTCTCTTAGTTGCTCTCTCAATGCATAGCAGAGTAAAGTCATGGAGGAGGGCCCATTGGTTTGATTGATCCCGACAGGCCTAATGAGGCACAGACATGGAACCAAGTAGATCACAAAGATATCTTGCAGTCAGAAGGCCTAAAATGTCCAGAAATTCAGAGTAGTGAAGAAAATCAGGGGTTTAGGGGACTTTCACTATTAATGTATACATTTGAGGACTCATCAGAATGATTGGTTATATCAAAATAGTGGTTAGAATAAGTTTATTAAACAGCACTCCAAAATGTATTAAATTAAAAAAACTTCTAGGATAATTTAAGTTTCTGTCTTTTTTCCAACAGGTATAACCACAGTGCTCACAATGACTACCATCAACACCCACCTGAGAGAAACCCTCCCTAAAATCCCTTACGTCAAGGCAATTGACATGTACCTCATGGGCTGTTTTGTCTTTGTATTCATGGCTCTGCTTGAGTATGCGCTGGTAAACTACATCTTCTTTGGACGAGGCCCTCAGCGTCAGAAAAAGGCAGCTGAAAAATCAGCGATAGCCAACAACGAAAAAATGAGGATGGATCCAAACAAGGTAAGACCAGCTTACCTTGGCTCAGCAGTCTGTTGATGTGCATTTTTTTTTCATTAGAAGGGACAGATTTCCCCCAAATGAGGTGCACTTTTCAGGAAAAAATGCCTCAGTGTCACCAAACTGAAGCAAAAAGTATTTCTCAGTTTCCTTATCCACCAATTTTCTAATGATAGAAATGTTCTTCCTCTAACTAAATTGACTCAAGTTAAATTTTAATGAGTTATTCAGAAAGCTGTCTGAGGACCTTAGAATAATAAGTAGCAAAGAAAAGAAATGTGCACCACTTCAAATGGAGTGTTGACCTAATGTTTCTGCTTTCACTGTGCCAATTAAGGCCAGCGAATAAACGTGTACATGTTGCAACTGAAACAGAAGGAATGAACGTCTTGGTTCTATATCTTGATAGAAAAACTTCTGTTTGTACTCCCAGCTGATATAAGCCAAATATGACTTGCAATGAAGCAAGTAGGCCATTTTAGAATGGCTGCTTATAGCAGTAAACTGCATAACTGTTTTTAACTTGTTTTTTGTTGCATTAATATCTGTTGACATTAAGGCAAATGTGTGACAAATATATATTTGATAAATGCATGCTTGAGACAATCTCAAAGTTTTTGCCATATTGCTTGTGCAAATAAAGACTTACTTACAATTTATTCATAAAGTGTACTGTATATCCCCAATGTACGCACACAAATGAAACACTATTTTAGTTGCATTGGTAACCATGGTGATTTGGTTGGTTGCAGTGGTTGGTGGGGAATGTCGTTGGCAGAGATGACACTCTGTATGCAAGAATGAAACAAAGGGATCTTGATGGACATGACTCCATATGGGAACCAATCTTTGTGGATGATACAGCACTTGGACTTGGCGATCAAAAGAACAAGGTACTTATTCTAAGAAAAATATGAGAAGAATGCTTGAACTCTACATAGATAAAGATGATTCTCTGTTGGTTATTCAAAGGGAGAAACTCTCTTTTAAATTTACACTGAAAAACATTTATTTTTCTAGATGGACCCACATGAGAACATCCTTCTGGGCACCCTGGACATCAAGAACGACATGGGGGTTTCAGAGCTGGCTCTGGGTCTCAATGACCCAAGAAATACCATGCTGACATATGACAGTTCAACCGTTCAGTACCGCAAAGCAGCACTGGCCAGGCACAACTTTGGCCGAAACACACTTGAGTGTCACATGACTCAGAAGAAGAGCAGACTACGAAGGCGTGCGTCTCAGCTAAAGATCACCATCCCAGACTTGACTGACGTAAACATTATTGACAGATGGTCGAGGATGATCTTCCCTACTGTCTTTTCCTTCTTCAACATTGTTTACTGGCTTTACTACGTCAATTAAAAGAAGAGGACATCAGTGAGTGCAAGAACAAACAGCAAAATATGTTGCTCATTTCTTGTTTGTAACTGGTTTGTTTCATTTTTTTGTGTGATTTGGAAAAACTGGACTGAGTAACCATATTCAGGACCAGCTCCATCATATCATGGAATACCGCATTTGCTGGCTAACACATGAAAACCTTATAAAAGAGAGATTACAAACATATAAGGTGCCTCTACCTGAGTAGTTGTGAACTATTTTATGTATTTTGTGAATTGTGTATCTATTTTCAAAGGTTTATTTGCATATTTCTTATGTTTTTATCATGTTAAATTAACAGCATACTAATATTTTGCCAAAAAAAAAATCAGTTAGATACAAATTAATCAACAACCATCATCTCTCACTGACATCACTTAAAAAGTGCTGACACATGTTTCAGGTCATCCAGGTATTCTATGTTTAATAACATCAAAGAAACTACATTTATTGGTACAAAAATCATTTGATACTAACGTTATAAGGGCCCCTCAGTTCACAGTTTATAGCATTGTGTATTCAAAAGATATCTATAATAAGCTTTTTCTACTGAAGTGTGCTAGTAGAGTTTTTATTTTACTTGTTTCATAGCATATTCTTAGTTTATAAATCATGTCCATTGGATTGCAGGTTAAATGAACTTACATCATTCCAAAAGTACAAAGTGTTTACATGGACTGCACTTCAGAAAAGTGCTGACAGTCAGAAAAAGTCATAATATAGAAAGCAAAAGTATTGGAAAAGCTAAAGGAAAGATGAACAAGGAAGGAAAAATAAATCACATATTTTGCTTCAGCTACATTGGCTTTACTTTTATAAATCTTTTAAATTGTCAATATTGAAATTTAAGCCCAAAGTACAAATAAATGATATGGATGGCCTATCCATAGTAGAGCCTCAAACAACGATGGTAATTTCACCTGCGCAGCATTTATTAACAGAATAATAGACAAACAGTATTCCCCTTTTGGATACTCTGAAAAATAGGTCACTTATGCCGAACTTGCTTTTTGATAACTGTGGTTCAAAGGTTCATGAAGATCACAAATAGTGAAGCTAAAGGGGTGATTAGGCCTACAGAGAGGCGCGAATAAAAAGCACAAGAATTACTTTTATTTTTGTTACCAGTGTTTTACTGTATCTTCCTCCTGAAACCTATTATCATTTTCAGAGGTTTAAACCTTTAACATTTAACACTCACAGCCACCTACTGTGTCCATTTTTTTTTTTAAAAGAGTGACTTAAGGAGATAGCCGTAATTCCAAATGAACTTATTATATAACCACAAACTATTGAGTGATATCATTTGCTTTTGACTGTATGATTACATGGAAGGTTTTTTTAAAGGATTTTGCACACAAGTTCTGTACCGTATTTATTCTGATACCTGGTGCTTATTGGAGCTTTTTATTAATAAGACTATGATCATAATGTAAGATTTAATTACAACAATGATGAAATGTAAACATACAACTAGGGCTGCAATACACAAGACTGCCATCCCCCCCTCAGCCACACTGTCTGTATGAATGAACTCTAGTGTTAGAGCCTCTTCTACATAAACATTAAGTACCAAATCATACATTAGAGTGAAATACAAACTGTCTAAAGTCAGAGGAGAAAAAATGAATAGCTGACACGTAAAAAAGACATGGTTCCTTTTAAAAAAATAGGAACAAGTAGCTGGAGCCTTTGTCTCCTCTGTCCCAAGTGCTTCTACCGAGTTCATCTCAAAGAGCAAAGATCTTATTCAAAAAGGACTATCTCTCTAAGTATGCTATTCCTTTTGTTCGTAAATGTGTGAGAGAACTTTACAAACATTAGTATTCTACTTGTTTACTTACAAATGTAGCTTCATACAGTTATGTCTCACTGCATGCTGTGTACAGTAGATCAGTAGTTCTCAACTGGTCTAGCCTCAGGACCCACCACCAACTCCTTAATAAGAAATCGCAACCCAAGTTTCAGATATTTTTCAACCAAATGGATTGTTTTATGAACATTTTAGCAGTTTGGACCTCAGAAAGCAAAAACCTGTTTTTTCTAAAGTGATTTTTAGACTATTTAGCACTTTTTTTCCCAGGCACACTTTCGACCCTCTTTTGGGTCCCGACCCACCAGTTGAGAATTACAGTAGAGAACTCCTTAATATCATGTTTTTGATCACTTTTTCTTCCTGAATGGTTTCTTTTCATTTGTGATTTTTGTGTTCAGTTCACCTCACAGATACGTGTGCATATGTCTGTGATTATTTATATGTCTGCTTGAAATTGCAAATGTTGAAGATGATGATGTGTGACTTATAGATTTTTCTATAAAGCATTTACAGAGCAGAAACCACAGTTTTTAAGAGATGCATTTTTATGAAAACTGCCCAACAAACAAGAACAAAGTCCAGATTAGTCTGAATCTTGGACTTTCACATCACTGGTGTTTAAATGTTTCTTATCAAAATGTATCATTTTCAGTTTGTGTTGATGTAGGTTAAGAAAGCAGCACATTGTAAGTAGTTTATACTATTTTTTTTATGTCTGGTTATTTCATCTTTTCTTGATTTGAATATTTTTATTTCAGAATAATTTTATATATGACTTAAAAAATGGATCCTGAAAGGCTCGATGTTGTTGTTTTTTTCAAGATGATTGGAAATGTAAATTTGTTAAATAACTGCAATTCGAACTCAAATTTGGGATTTTGATCCAAAAAGTTCCTCGTAATATAAGGTTGTACACATCAGATTATCAGATATTATTAATAATGGTCAATTGGAACATATTATTCCTGTAAATAACTACCTATAAGCTTTGAAGAGAAACAACAAAATGCTCATTTCAATGTCACTTTTACTTAAGAGAATGCAAAGGCTGAGGTGAAAAATGTAAATAGTCTATTTTAGTGTCACTTGATCACTTTTTTTGTTTCTATTTGCTCTATTTGTCGAAGCACATTTTCTTTGGTTTTGCCAAAATGTATCAGATATTCATGAATGTAGTTGATATTCTATACAGCATGTATTTGCTGTAATGTGTCAGCAAACGTATAACAGTTTCTTGTACCAATGATCAGCTAAACACAGCTCAATGTACACCACTTGTTCAAACACGCGTACACATATACACAAAGGGTCAAGTGATTCAAAGGCATGTGTTGCCTTTATTATCAGACCAAAAGTCAACCATCTCAGGTCAGCACGATTCACATTACTGACAACGCTGCACAACAAAACACAAAACTACATTTCCAACCCATGAATTGTATTTTAGGGGAAAGTACCTTAATGAGCTTGTTTCACATATTTGTTATTGTACTTATTTGCTTCCTGTGTTTTCCACAAGTTCCACACTACACACAAACACTAAACTACTAACAGCGTAATATTGCTTTCCCAGCATTGGCAAAATCAAGGCGATACATTTTTAAGTCATTAAGGTACATAATACAACTCAGCTGTAGACAAGTTTCACCCTACCCTATATAGATATATTTCTTAATCTTCACAGGTATACTGTGTGTGGTATGACATGGTGTATTTGAGTATGAGAATGTTGTACTGGATGTGTGTCAGCCAGGCAGTAATGTGTTTTGAAAGCACATGACGGGAAACTGGCGAAAGACTCGCTTCATAAGTTCTACACTTTGAATATGTGTTTGTACTTCACAGCGCTTTTTTGTTTCATATATTTTTATACTTCTATACTCCAGTGGGAAAAAAAAACGGAAAAAAAACTGCAAACAGTAATGTTGTAAATTCAAACTTTGGCTATTTTCACATTTATACTGTACAGAATGATTATATTATCCTGTAGGGGTCCTGAAAGCAATGACATGTATGCTTATGAAATCCTTTCATAATCCTTGTGTAAAGTAAAAAAAAAAAAAAACATGGTGGTATGCGGTTTGAAAATAGCTTCTTTTTTTTTTTTTTCTCAGAGGAACGTTTTTGGAAATGTCTACTGTGGAGAGCAAGGACAAACTGACATCCTAAAAGCATAAATGACACATCTTGGTGATAGTGTATGTTTGCACACACTCACAGAAGAAGCCTTAGCCTCCTGCTGCCCTGGACTTCACTCCAAGGAGCATCAATCCTTCTTATTCTCTCGACACCCACCACCTCGAAAAATCCTTAAGCGTATGTGCCACTCACGAGAACATTCCCAGAAACCCAGAGCTGTAGGCTACCCTTTTCAAAGATAAGCCCTGAAATCTCAGTGTCTGTCTTTACTATGAACAATCTATGGAAATGAATACATTCTCAATAAATATTGTATACAGTTCTAATTCTGAAAAGAGGAAATAGGCTTATGCTGGCCTGTTGTCACATTTTGTCTGAAATGCATTTTTTTATTTCTGAAATGGTGTTACTTGGATGCTGCAGCCATCAAAACAGAAAGAGGGCTAGATAGCTAGTAGAAATGATTCAGATTCAGAAAACAACGCTGTCCGCTCATGCATAATTAACCTCCTTCCAGTTTGTTAAATGATAACACAAGAGGAGATATAGAAAGTTCAACATCAGAGACATCCATCTTGTTTTCTTTACGACAATGCTTCAGAGGGGCTCAAATCTGTCCTGTATGTTAGCAAAATCTGTTGTGATTGGCCCAACCTGAATCATGTCGGTTGGAAATCTGTCTGAAAGAGAGGTGCAAAAGACACATGCCAAAAGAAATCAAACCTATCTTTGCGGATTCCTCTGGTTCACTGTCTGGAACTCCAAACACATATGTTAATAGCCTAACTTATGGTGCTTGAAACTTTAAAATTCTAGAAGTCTGTCAATGATTGAGATGATATTTATTGGTCAATAAAAAAAATACTATCCAAAAACAAAGGGATTATGAAACTTATGTCCTCTCGCCTTTTTATATCTTAATTTTACAACCAATTAATTCACCAATTTTTTAACTTTTTTTTATACCACTGAACATTTTCTGGTAAACTCAAGATTTAACAACCTTCTTTACTGTTATCTGAATTGCATCTTTAAAATCGATGGCCAAACTTCTCTTAAAACTGTTCTGAATATCAGCCCCTATAAGGTGACTTTTTCCATACACTGTTAGTTTAGCGCAGTGCGGAGATGCATGTTAAAATGTCATTTCCGAGTTTCTTTACTCAGGAACTTTGGAGTCCAGCAGACTCAGCTACACATGTTTTTTTTCTCCCCTCCTTCTGTCTGATTATGGGTCTCTGCCTTTGGCCTCGTGTGAGTGTCCCAAATTCATAAATAACGTGATCTCTTGACATGTATCTCAATCTGATGACAATGGCTTCCTTTTATCCTTATCCTTAAATCCTTATCCTTTCATAAATTGTATTGGGGCTTGTTAGACAAAGACCAAAAGGACTGACTCCCCCGTGTGGAAGGGAGACACATCCCTCTCAAGGAAAATACTTGGTCACTGAGACATCGCCCCACATCAGCCCCTCTGAACAGATATCACAGGGATGGGGGACAGGGTGGGGGAGGGGTGTTTTTTAAATGTTAAATTTGACTTGAATCTTAGGTATGTAAAGGTTTTTTAACCAATTTGAATTTGCAAGGAACTACTTTAAAGGCACTTTTTAAGATGCAAATATGATTATATTTGTTCGTGTTGAAAGAATCCAGGAGCAGGGTGATGGTGTAGAATTTGAGGTACGTCATGGCATGTTCAAAAGGAAATGTGTTTAAGCTTTATGCTCTATAGTCTATACTGAGAAGCATTAAACAAGCCTGTGGGGAAAACGTGAAAAAAACTGTATTCATCAGCAGACTGGAGTTCTAACAAATTATTCTAATATAATTGGAAAAATGTTGCTAATCACTGAAAACAGTTGTACAGTAACCCAAAGTACCACATTTTTGACTGCCAAAGGCTAAATAGTCAATATACTTTTACAAAAATACATTTTCAAAGGTTAAGAAGCCTTTTGAGCTTTAACAAAACATAATTTCTACAATGAATAAGACATGTTGTCAGAGTTTCAAAATT